GCTGAACCGTGTGAAATCAGTATTGAGTCTGTGGTTTGTACTCGGTATGCATCATGTCTTGGTTTTGGTTTGCTTTTCCTCACGTTTTGCGTCTCATACTAGGATTTTTCATGCTTGTCTTAACTTTCTCCAAGGTTGCTCTAGGTAAAACCTCTTCTGCTCTTCCGTTTATTTTTAACTTTTATTCCCACGTAGCATCTCTCCTCACTTATCTCTCAGTTATTCTGTCCTCCTTAACTATTTAACCAGTTTTATTCTTTCTTCTTCTGTAATAATTCTGCAATTGAGGATAAATATCAAAAACTGCAGATGCACAAAAAATAAGAGCTGTTGCGTATCAACATAAGATACAGTTTAATTTGAATCTACTGGATGTTTGCTGAAATGTTATTCTAATAACCTTGTTTCCAAAGCTAATCTCAAAGTTCTTTTGGAAAGTCATGATGATGAGGAGTGACCTGAAAACCATGCATAGGGTGGGGGAAGAAGGGCGTTGTAAAAGATGACAAACTATGTTGTAATGCATACTTCACGGTCTAGCATAAAAAAAAAAAAAAAGACATGAGCAAGCATAAGGTTTGAAAATACTAACCAAATAGTTAAATTTGATAATAGCACTTAAAAATGGAATGGTGTGCTTTTAAAGGAAGAAATAAAAAGGAATAATCATTAATGTGTAGGTCCAGCAGAGGTAGAAACACCATAACTGTCTAAATTATTGTTTTCTGTATTTTGTTCTTTTCCCTTCAGCAGCCTCATAAAACCTTCTTCTGTAAAAATGATGCTAATTTGATGGTAGGTGGCAAAATGTTTTAAATCAAACAACTAATTTAACATAACAACATTAAAAAAAAAAATCCTGGAAGGTGAATTAGGTTTGTAATCCTTTAATAAAATGGTATTTGAATGTTGCTTTTCTGTTCTTCACTGAAAGCTTCTGAAAATTAAACCCAATTTTACATAAAGTTCCTATTTTGTATTTTTCCCTTGTTCCAAGGCGTAGGCTAAGTTCACAGGTCATTAGAAGAAGTTGCTATTGGCAAGAATGCTGCAGCATTTCAGTGCTTTTCTGGGGTCTTATTTTATACCACTTAAATCCCTAGACTGGTTTACAGATATTCTTGTTCTCACTTAAAGTATTACAGCCACAGATGAATAAGAGAACGAGCCGCGGTTCCTACGTCCGTCACCTGCGTTAGCAAGAAGACGCCATCCATTTCCAGGCGTAACACCACTCACCTTGGAAAGTCCTTTCCGAAACCTGAAGTCCCGGATCGACGAACTGTTCACAGGTACCGCTAAAAAGTCCGTAGGTGAGGCTTACCCTAACGGTGGAGTTTGTGCCAGCAAACTTAACCTCGCTACTCACCCAGTGCTGGGTCGCCAAAACGACACAAATCATCGCGAAAGAGGAAACGCAGGTCAAAAAAGAGGATGCAAACATGGCTGTTTTTTTTCTGGACGGCATTTTGTCAGACAGAGATTTTTCCACCGGTTCAGGGTATTTTCTTCTCTTCAGTCCTGCTTAGCATGAGGTGGTTTCCTCCTCCTCGCTATCCGGGATCTACTCTCTGTGCTAGCAGAAAGCTGCCCCGGTAAACTTTAAGCAAACAGCAGTGGTAATAAAAATGTAAAATAATTGAACTTTGGTCTAGAGAAAAGGTGTTGCTATAGTTACAACACAATCAACCTGGCAAAGGCCAGGAGGAATCATCAGCAGATGATTTATGATTGCCTTGCCGACCCGTAGCTTTTCAGGTCACGGCTCTGGAGACAGCTCTTCTAGAGCCTGGTGCCTGCAGGGCCAGGGCTCCCAGCTCGCCTTACTGCTTTCTGGGACAGTTTTTACTCCCTGACAAAATTTTCTGGCCTGTTCTTGCTTTTTCTCTTGAAAGTCTGATAACCAGGCTGGAAAGAATTTTTGCTAAATCTGTACCTAACCTCTATCTAATGTGTCATGGTAAAGAGTAACAAAATGTTCCTTCTGTGTTCAAATTCCCCGCTTGCTTACCAGCCACCCAACTGCCTCTTTGGAGACCTCTTTTAAAACCTTCATGCTCTTTCTGAAAACCCTGGGTTGGTCTTGGCTTTTGGGGGTAAGGAGATTCCATCTACTCTCAATAGATTATTTTCTAAAGAAGAGCTATAATTCCTAATTAAATTTCATATATTTTCATGCATCCTTCCCTTTTTTTTGACCTTTTTTTTTCGACAGGGAGGAAACAAATACCTTAAGTAGGGATGCATTTCAATGGATATGTAAAGGGACCAATACTGAAGAAAATCTGTTCTGGACTGTAAAGCAAAGGAATATATTCTTTTCTTCTGCCCAAACTAAACTAAACAAAGACAAAAGACAATAACAACATGATATCAAACAGAACATATATTGCTTAATAATAAGACTGAAGTAAAATTTCTAGAATTTGAGGTAAACTAGGCACCAGGGTCCCCATTTTGTTTGTGTGAAATCTGAAACCTGAATTAATAATTGTCAGGATAAAGTCAAAGAGATTCCATTAGCTTTTATTTCTATTAATTACAACGCTATTATTCCATGTTATACTCAAGTCACACTCCTGGATCATCCAGTGTTTTTTTAATTAATATTTGGAAAGCAGTCTGTTTTAACAGTGCTGCTAAATAAACCTGTTGAGCTATCTTCCTGAAGCTTGACTGCTTTGTATTGTAAAGACATTGAGAGATTAAAGTTTTATGAATTTGAAATGGCAAATAATTTCTTGAGGGGAGAAAATACCTGTTCTGTAATGCAGTGATATGATACTGTAATTGTTCTAGTGTTAATTTCTTGAGTCAAAACTTCAAAGCAGTGATCACATTTGAAATCAATGTATCTTATTTCTGAGATGTACAACTGGTCTTTTATATGCTATGGTCTTACGCTTTTTTTTTTTTAATTCTATGGGACTTTAATGATACTTTTGATGTCATTGCTTTTAAGAATTTATACATTTTACTCATAAAGAATTTATATGCTTCATATATGTACTTAACATACGTAACATAGCAGAAATCAGCCAAAACATGATTTAAGCACTGAAGACTGAAGGGAAGCTTTACAGATCTTCTAAAGAAATAAGAAACAAGAGACCTGTCTCTCATTTTCTGTCCAGTACTTCAGTTAAACTTTAACCACAGCAATATGGGTAAACTTTACTAGACCTACCCACCTCTACAGGTTTATTAATCCAATAGTTCTATTCACCATTTAGTTGCATACAAAGAGCGTAGTCCAAGTATTTGTAGTCCAAGGATATTTTTTAATAAACTGAGATAAAAATCTGCCCTGTGCTGTCAGATGTGCCCCTCGTCCCCTATGAAATATGTTTAACAATATAAATATATTTAAGAATTGGTATTTGTCTTGGTACTAACTTTGAGGGAATAAATTTTCAGCTGCTGCTCAGTGGTCCTGCTTTGGCAGACTTGAGAGAACCAAATTTAAATGAACTGAGCACCCACACCTTTAAAAATGCTAAATAACAGAGACTAAGAGCTGCAGTGGGTAGCCTGTAGTTCCTTTCTAAGCAATCTTATTCAATTATATTTAGTTTTAGGTGACTCAGAACAAATTTTTGTGGCTCAAATCATTGAAACTCTCCTGAGGCCAGGGGAATTGCTCTGTAAATGAGTCCGTAATTTGCCTTTTTCTTCCCTGTCAACTTGAACTTAATTTATTCTCTGCCGATGGGACGATTCTTTGTGTCTTTTTTTCTCACAACTACCTAAAAAAACATCATATAACTTGTAAAGAAAATTGTAGTTTGACACGACACACCTCAGCACTTGAGAGGAAAGAGAAGAGATTGGTTTCCTCCGACTTAGGGAAAATGTTTCCTTATCAGCACCTTTCCGACTCTGCCCCCACTAGTACAGACTCAGCCCTGTACAACGGTCAGACAGAAAAATCAGAGTAATTCGTTATGAGTCAGATGGACAGCGGAGAGATTTGGAACCCTTTGCTATATAAAATTATATAGAGCCCTGTATTTTTAAAGGTCGTGTATGTGAGAATTCCTCTTCTGTTTATGCACAAGTTAGTTTGCTTTAAGCACCCAGATATATAAAAATATAAAATGAAAGCTATTATTTGCAAACATTTCATTTACATTCATTTTTCTACATTACAAACAGATTCTTACAGGTGAAAAAAAAAAAATCGCAGGGTGGTTTATTGCTTTGCCCACAGCTCCGGGCGGATGCCGTCTCCCGAGCGATGCCATCTCCCGGCTGCGGCAGGCAGGGTCCGAGGGCTCGCTCCTAGCCGGCTCACAGGTAAGCGCGCTCAGCAGCAGCTGGGGAAATTCAAGGTAAAGCCACTGCAAATTATTTTCTGTTCTGCTGCAACCGCAATGTATGGCGACGGTTACTGGGGCTTTAAAAAATTCCACATTTAGTTAAATTTGCATTTTAAAAAATAATTGACAGGTGGCAAGATGATTTAGCAGTGTGGTTGGCTGGCAGTTGTGCTGATATCTGTGACTTTCCTTGGGCACCACCGTTGTGGTACACCCTTGGATATCACACAAAGCTTTCACATCTTTTTGATTTTCCATTTTCCACGTCCAATTGCAAAGGAGCTCGGCATCTGAGATGGCAAAATCCTTGAGCTGCACTTGGCCCCAAAAGGAGTCGATAAAGCGCCACACAAGGCAGATGTATGCGCAGCGTTGCAGGATCAGGCCATGCATTACCAACATTGCCTCTACCTCTTCTAAAATGGATAAATTGTAATTGAAACAGATTATTATAAATGTACTATAGAATACTCAGAATGGCGTTGATTTTTTTTCTCTGGTCGCTTTGCAGCCAGCATTCTGAGTGGTGACTGAAATAGGGATTTGTTTATGCCTTTTGGACTGGGTGAGGGAAATCGGATAAAACATCATGAATTTTATTGTAGCTGAAGATGAAAAATTTGAAGCTCAACTGAACTGCAAAATTATTGCAACAGCTGTTTGGGAAAGTGAGAGGGATGTGATCATGACAATTTTTGTGTATCCATACCCAGCGCTGCTGTGCGGTGGATTTGTACGATTCCATCTTCCGATTTCATCCTTCTCTTGCTTTGACCTTTTTTACAGCACTATTGAAAAAAAAAAACCACAAACAAACACGTTTTAAATGTTGTTTGGATTTCTTCCCAGAAAATGACTAAATCTTCTCAGCTGAGAACTCCATCACCAGATAGTTATTGATTTCTGAGCTCTGATGCTGGAGCACGTTGGTAACATTGGAGTGACAGCTGGAATGTTGTGCTGCCACCAGCCCCTCCGGAGCGGCACCCTT